GAAAAATTCCTTCAACCAGGCATTTGTTTATAACCACCGTTATAGGAGCTATTCATCCCAATCTTTCGATTTAAAATAATTTCAAGATGGCTGCCACATCTAGTGTACCGGAAGTAGCCTACAACTTCGTTATTTTAAACGGAATGCTGCAATTTTTATTGGATATTTGAATTGAAAAACGGTTTTTTTAATCAAAAATGACAATACAAAATTCACTCGCAAAAAGAGAAACGCAAAAATTTCGTCTTATTTTTTACATACAGTTTGTACTTTTACAATAGGAAGACAGTATTTACGACCAAAGCCTATAGAGAAATATCGAAATTATGATCATTTGTGAGTCAAAGTGCCAACATCCAGCTTTTCCTGTTTCTGTAGTTCCCTGCTTTCTGTGTTTGCCCCCTGCTTTGGGGCCTTTAGATTTTGAGAAATAAATTTTTAAGTGATCGACAACTTTCTCGAATTTTGCAATTTTCGCCGATTAAGTTTTAAAAATTCATATAAAATCCATTTCTTGGAAAATGAGTATGAAAATTTCCCAAAGTGTTAATAAAAGTGTCTTCTTTCCAAGGAACCAACACGTTTTGAAAAATAACTTTTAGTTTTTGAGAAAACAATATTTGAAGTTTTGATAAAATTTTCGATGTTGCAATTTTCATCGATAACTTTTAAAATTCGCTATAAAATTAATTTCTTGAAGGATCCTTGTGGAAATATCACCAATTATTAATTAAAGCATCCTCTTTTTAACGCAACAAGCCGTTTTGAAAAATCACTTTTAGTTTTTGAGAAATACATTTTTGAAATGATGGACAATTTTTTTTAATTTTGCAATTTTTGCCGATTAAGTTTTAAAAATTCGTTTAAAATCTATTTCTTAGAATATAAGTTTGAAAATTTCGCAAAGTCTTAATAAGAGTGTCCTCTTTCCAATGAACCAACATGTTTTGAAAAATAACTTTTAGTTTTTGAGAAATCAATATTTGAAGTTTTGATAAAATTTTCGATGTTGCAATTTTCATCGATAATCCTCAAAATTTGCTATAACATTAATTTCTTGAAGGATCCTTGTGGAAATATCACCAATTATTAATTAAAGTGTCCTCTTTTTAATGCAAAAAGTCGTTGTGAAAAATCACTTTCAGTTCTTGAAAAATAAATTGAAATGCAATTTTCGCCAATTAAGTTTTACAAATTCGTATAAAATCCAATTCTTGGAATATGAATATGAAAATTTCCCAAAGTGTTAATAAAAGTGTCCTCTTTATAATGAACCAACACGATTTGAAAAATAACTTTTATTTTTTTAGAAAACAATATTTGAAGTTTTGATAAAATTTTCGATGTTGCAATTTTCATCGATAATTTTCAAAATTCGCTATAAAATTAATTTCTTGAAGGATCCTTGTGGAAATATCACCAATTATTAATTAAAGTATCCTCTTTTTAATGCAAAAAGCCGTTTTGAAAAATCACTTTTAGTTCTTGAGAAATAAATTTTTGAAATGATCGACAATTTTTTTGAATTTTGCAATTTTCGCAGATTAAGTTTTAAAAATTCGTATAAAATCAATTTCTTGGAATATGAGTTTGAAAATTTCCCAAACTGTTAATGAAAGTGTCCTCTTTCCAATGAACCAACACGTTTTGAAAAATAACTTTTAGTTTTTGAGAAAACAATATTTGAAGATATAATTTTCATTGATAATTTTCAAAATTTGCTATAAAATTCATTTCTGGAAGGATCCTTGTGGAAATATCACCAATTATTAATTATAGTGTAGTCTTTTTAATGCAACAAGCCGTTTTGAAAAAACGCTTTTAATTTTTGAGAAATAAATTTTTGAAATTATCAACAATTTCTTCGAATTTTGCAATTTTCGCTTATTAAGTTTTAAAAATTCGTATAAAATTCATTTCTTGGAATATGAGTTTGAAAATTTCCCAAACTGTTAATAGAAGTGTCCTCTTTCCAATGAAATAACACGTTTTGAAAAATAACGTTTAGTTTTTGAGAAAACAATATTTGAAGTTTTGACAGAATTTTTGATGTTACAATTTTTATCGATAACTTTATAATTCGCTATAAAATTCATTTCTTAAAGAATCCTTGTGGAAATATCACCAATTATTAATTGAAGTATCCTCTTTTTAATGCAAAAAGCCGATTTGAAAAATCACTTTTAGTTTTTGAGAAATACATTTTTGAAATGATCGACAATTTTTTCGAATTTTGCAATGTTCGCCGATTAAGTTTTAAAAATTCGTATAAAATCCATTTCTTGGAATATGAGTTTGAAAATTTCCCAAAGTGTTAATAAAAGTGTCTTCTTTCCAATGAACCAACACGTTTTGAAAAATAACTTTTAGTTTTTGAGAAAACAATATTTGAAGTTATAATTTCATTGATAATTTTCAAAATTCGCTAAAAAATTTATTTCTTGAAGAATCTTTATGGAAATATCACCCATTATTAATTAAAGTATCCTCTTTTTAATGCAAAAAGCCGTTTTGAAAAATCACTTTTAGTTTTTGAGAAATACATTTTTGAAATGATCGACAATTTTTTGAATTTTGCAATTTTCGCAGATTAAGTTTTAAAAATTCGTATAAAATCAATTTCTTGGAATATGAGTTTGAAAATTTCTCAAACTGTTAATGAAAGTGTCCTCTTTCCAATGAACCAACACGTTTTGAAAAATAACTTTTAGTTTTTGAGAAAACAATATTTGAAGTTATAATTTTCATTGATAATTTTCAAAATTTGCTATAAAATTCATTTCTGGAAGGATCCTTGTGGAAATATCACCAATTATTAATTAAAGTATCGTCTTTTTAATGCAAAAAGTCGTTTTGAAAAATCACTTTCAGTTCTTGAGATATAAATTTTTGAAATGACTTAATGATGATTTAAAACTTAATTTATGTATTTTTGTTTCTAAAATTTTTATTTTTTAACATAAGCAAAGTTGGCTACTATTTCTTTAATGGTGTAAGTTATAGCAACCACGTCAACATTTCTTTAAGAAACTATATAGACTCTACTGCTTCGGCCACAAGCGACCTCGGCTAGTATTTTTTTAAATGGTCCAAATTGTACCCAACATGTCTTTGACAAATACTATTTTTATATATATGTATACGTCTTATTCTTTTAGGTTTTATTAGAAGATGGCTACTTTATCCACTTCTTTGCACCCCCCGAAATGGAACCATTACGAAAAAACGTAATCTTTGTGTTAGACACAAGCGGAAGTATGTACGGCACAAAAATCGATCAATTAAAATCAGCTATGAAAAAGATTCTAAACGAATTACATCCAAATGATAAATTTGCATTGATAGAATTTAGTACAAAAGTGCACCTTTTAAATTTAGATGACACAAAAATAACTTACTCAGAAAATCTAGATGTGTATCTTCCTCCGAGTAACGATGTAACTCAAGCGAACATTCAGAAAGCTGAATCGATCATTTCTGGTCTTTGGCCGTCCTCTTTGACGAATATCTACGATGCGTTGATGTTTGCGTTGAACTTGATTAATCGGTTGGAAGGGGACCCGAATGAGCCTCAACCGATTATCGTTTTTTTAACAGATGGTGAGGCGACTGTTGGAAAAAGAGATGATGATGATATTATTGAAGGCGTGACTAATAATAATAAATATAAAACTCCCATTTATTGCTTGTCGTTTGGGAGGCAAGCGGAAAAAAAGGTTCTACAAAAAATAAGTTTAAAAAATAATGGCTTTTCGAGGCACATTTATGAAGGAGGAGATGCTTCCATTCAATTGCAAGATTTTTATCGGTCAATTTCTTCGCCGATTATGAATAATGTTACGTTTAAATACGTTTCGGAGGCGAAAGAAGTTACGAAAACTATATTTCCGATAATGTTTAATGGAAGTGAGATTGTTGTTACAGGAAAAATAGGTAATAATTTTTTTTATCATTTAAATTAAAACGCAATCGATTTGACTTTGTTATAGTAAAGTGTACTTGCTACAATGTATACCGTTAGGAACGTACTAGCCGAAGTCGCTTGCGGCCGAGGCAGCAGAATTTACCTTGATAACGAGATATTAGCGTAGCTCCTACAATCTGCACCGTTTAAGAAATAATAGCCGAGGTCGCTTGCGGTCGAGGCAGTAGAATCCACTTTGTTATTGTAATATTAGTGTAGCTACTACAATCTACACTGTTAAATACACTACAGTAGCCGAGGTCGCTTGCGGCCGAGGCAGTGGAATTCACTTTGTTAAAGAAACATTAGCGTAGCTCCTACAATTTACACCGTATAAGAAATAATAGCCGAGGTCGCTTGCGGCCGAGGCAGTGGAATCCACTTTGTTATAATAATAGTAGTGTAGCTGTTACAATCTATACCATTAGCGAAGTATGAGCCCAGGTCGTTTGCGGCCGAGGCAGCAGAACTCACTTTGTTGATGAGATATTAGCGTAGCTCCTACAATCTGCACCGTTTAAGAAATAATAGCCGAGGTCGCTTGCGGCCGAGGTAGTAGAATCCACTTTGTTAATATGATATTACCGTACTTATGATATTCTTAGAATCTGCACGGCTAAAGGAATGACAGCCGAGGTCGCTTACGACCGAGGCAGTGGAATCCACTTTGTTATAATAATATTAGTGTAGCTGCTACAATCTACACTGTTAAATACAGTACAGTAGCCGAGGTCGCTTGCGGCCGAGGCACTGGACTCTACTTTGTTATAATAATGTTAGTGTAGCTGTTACAATCTACATCGTTAGGGAAGTACTAGCCGAGGTCGCTTGCGGTCGAGGCAGTGGAATTCACTTTGTTAAAGAGACATTAGCGTAGCTTCTACAATTTACACAGTATAAAAAATAATAGCCGAGGTCGCTTGCGGCCGAGGCAGTGGAATCCATTTTGTTATAATAATATTAGTGTAGCTGCTACAATCTACACTGTTAAATACAGTACAGTAGCCGAGGTCGCTTGCGGCCGAGGCACTGGAATCTACTTTGTTATAATAATATTAGTGTAGCTGCTACAATCTATATCGTTACGAAAGTACTAGCCGAGGTCGCTTGCGGCCAAGGCACTGGAATCTACTTTGTTATAATAATATTAGTGTAGCTGCTACAATCTATATCATTACGAAAGTACTAGCCGAGGTCGCTTGCGGCCGAGGCAGTGGAATTCACTTTGTTATAATAATATTAGCGTAGCTGCTACAATCTACACTGTTAAATACAGTACAGTAGCCGAGGTCGCTTGCGGCCGAGGCACTGGAATCTACTTTGTTATAATAATATTAGTGTAGCTGCTACAATCTATATCGTTACGAAAGTACTAGCCGAGGTCGCTTGCGGCCAAGGCACTGGAATCTACTTTGTTATAATAATATTAGTGTAGCTGCTACAATCTATATCATTACGAAAGTACTAGCCGAGGTCGCTTGCGGCCGAGGCAGTGGAATTCACTTTGTTATAATAATATTAGCGTAGCTGCTACAATCTACACTGTTAAATACAGTACAGTACCTGAGGTCGCTTGCGGCCGAGGCACTGGAATCTACTTTGTTATAATAATATTAGTGTAGCTGCTACAACCTACATCGTTAGGGAAGTACTAGCCGAGGTCGCTTGCGGTCGAGGCAGTGGAATCTACTTTCTTATAGTAATATTAGTGTAGCTGCTACAATCTACACTGTTAAATAGAGTACAGTAGCCGAGGTCGCTTGCGGCCGAGGCACTGGAATCTACTTTGTTATAATAATATTAGTGTAGCTGCTACAATCTACATCGTTAGGGAAGTACTAGCCGAGGTCGCTTGCAGTCGAGGCAGTTGAATTCACTTTGTTAAAGAGACATTAGCGTAGCTTCTACAATTTACACAGTATAAAAAATAATAGCCGAGGTTACAATTTACACAGTATAAAAAATAATAGCCGAGGTCGCTTGCGGCCGAGGCAGTGGAATTCACTTTGTTAAAGAGACATTAGCGTAGCTTCTACAATTTACACAGTATAAAAAATAATAGCCGAGGTCGCTTGCGGCCGAGGCACTAGAATCTATTTTGTTATAATAATATTAGTGTAGCTGCTACAATCTATATCGTTAGGAAAGTACTAGCCGAGGTCGCTTGCGGTCGAGGCAGTGGAATTCACTTTATTAAAGAGACATTAGCGTAGCTGCTACAATTTACACGGTATAAGAAATAATAGCCGAGGTCGCTTGCGGCCGAGGCACTGGAATCTACTTTGTTATAATAATATTAGTGTAGCTCCTACAATTTACACCGTATAAGAAATAATAGCCGAGGTCGCTTGCGGCCGAGGCACTGGAATCCACTTTGTTATAATAATATTAGTGTAGCTGTTACAATCTATACCGTTAGGGAAGTATTAGCCGAGGTCGTTTGCGGCCGAGGCACCAGAATTCACTTTGGTAATGAGATATCGTTAATAAAAAAAAGAAGGTCATAGAAACAAAGAAAATGAAAAAAAAAGATAGTAAATAAGTAAATAAGATAGTAAATAAACATAATAAAAGTGTTAAGACGGATTTTTGAATTAAGGAATTTTTGTTTGAACCTGCAACCCGAAATATTCTATTATAAATTTAAAGATTGTGTTTTGATAAAAAAATAAAATTGAAATAATGATCATCACAATAAGATTTATTATATGTGTAGTTTAACATCAAGTTAACTATTAGTTAACAAACAAAAATATAACTTTAATAATTAATACATTTTCGTTACCATTTTGGAAAACTGATAAANAGTTTAGCCGAGGTCGCTTGCGGTCGAGGCAGTTGAATTCACTTTGTTAAAGAGACATTAGCGTAGCTTCTACAATTTACACAGTATAAAAAATAATAGCCGAGGTCGCTTGCGGCCGAGGCAGTGGAATCCATTTTGTTATAATAATATTAGTGTAGCTGCTACAATCTACACTGTTAAATACAGTACAGTAGCCGAGGTCGCTTGCGGCCGAGGCACTGGAATCTACTTTGTTATAATAATATTAGTGTAGCTGCTACAATCTATATCGTTACGAAAGTACTAGCCGAGGTCGCTTGCGGTCGAGGCAGTGGAATTCACTTTATTAAAGAGACATTAGCGTAGCTCCTACAATTTACACGGTATAAGAAATAATAGCCGAGGTCGCTTGCGGCCGAACCAATGTAATCCACTTTGTTATAATAATATTAGTGTAGCTGTTACAATCTATACCGTTAGGGAAGTATTAGCCGAGGTCGTTTGCGGCCGAGGCAGCAGAACTCACTTTGTTAATGAGATATTAGCGTAGCTCCTACAATCTGCACCGTATAAGAAATAATAGCCGAGGTCGCTTGCGGCCGAGGCAGTAGAATCCACTTTGTTAATACGATATTAGCGTACTTATGATATTCTTAGAATCTGCACGGTTAAAGAAATGATAGCCGAGGTCGCTTACGACCGAGGCAGTGGAATCTACTTTGTTATAATAATATTAGTGTAGCTGCTAAAATCTACATCGTTAGGGAAGTACTAGCCGAGGTCGCTTGCGGTCGACACAGTGGAATTCACTTTGTTAAAGAGACATTAGCGTAGCTCCTACAATTTACACCGTATAAGAAATAATAGCCGAGGTCGCTTGCGGCCGAGGTAGTAGTATCCACTTTGTTAATACGATATTAGCGTACTTATGATATTCTTAGAATCTGCACGGCTAAAGGAATGATAGCCGAGGTCGCTTACGACCGAGGCAGTGGAATCTACTTTGTTATAGTAATATTAGTGTAGCTGCTACAATCTACACTGTTAAATACAGTACAGTAGCCGAGGTCGCTTGCGGCCGAGGCACTGGAATCTACTTTGTTATAATAATATTAGNCCTACAACTAAAAACATTGTAGCAGTGAGGCAAATACATTAACATAGGATTCATGATATTTTATTCCAAAACTTTATTCAAAAAGAATTTATTGCATGAAATAAAGTAAAACGATTTATACATAACGTAGCTTCTACAGTCTGCACTGTATAAGACATAATAGCCGAAGTCGCTTGCGGCCGAGGCAGTGGAAGCCACTTTGTTATAATAATATTAGTGTATATCATATATTAGTCTTTTCACTAATAAAACTCTCACAACTTATAGGATAATGTGTCATGAAGTTGGTTCCCAATGCTGCCAACACACATATAGCACATCCCCGCGCTTAACTTATTAATTACAGTAAACCCTCTATTNAGTGTAGCTGCTACAATCTACACTGTTAAATACAGTACAGTAGCCGAGGTCGCTTGCGGCCGAGGCACTGGAATCTACTTTATTATAATAATATTAGTGTGGCTGCTACAATCTATATATATACAATCTACATATCGTTAGGGGAGTATTAGCCGAGGTCGCTTGCGGTCGAGGCAGTGGAATTCACTTTGTTAAAGAGACATTAGCGTAGCTCCTACAATTTACACCATATAAGAAATAATAGCCGAGTTCGCTTGCGGCCGAGGCAGTAGAATCCATTTTATTAATACGTTATTAGCGTACTCATGATATTCTTAGAATCTGCATGGCTAAAGAAATGATAGCCGAGGTCGCCTACGACCGAGGCAGTGAAATCTACTTTGTTATAGTAATATTAGTGTAGCTGCTACAATCTACACTGTTAAATACAGTACAGTAGCCGAGGTCGCTTGCGGCCGAGGCAGTGGAATCTACTTTGTTATAATAATATTAGTGTAGCTGGTACAATCTATATCGTTAGGGAAGTACTAGCCCAGGTCGCTTGAGGTCGAGGCAGTGCAATTCACTTTGTTAAAGAGACATTAGCGTAGCTCCTACAATTTACACCGTATAAGAAATAATAGCCGAGGTCGCTTGTGACCGAGGCAGTGGAATCCACTTTGTTATAATAATATTAGTGTAGCTCCTACAGTTTGCACTGTATAAGAAATAATAGCCGTGGTCGCTTGCGGCTTTGTTACTTTGTTATAATAATATTGGTGTATGTCATATATTAGTCTTTTCACTAATAAAACTCTCACAACTTATAGGATAATGTGTCATGAAGTTGGTTCCCAATACTGCCAACACACATATAGCACATCCCCGCGCTTAACTTATTAATTACAGTAAACCCTCTATTTTCGACCACCTCTAAAAAACGGTCATCTCTAAAAATATCCAATTTTCAAATTCCTGGAACAATTACGGACGAAATACCGTTCTAATAACCTTCCCAATAACGGNTCATATATTAGTCTTTTCACTAATAAAACTCTCACAACTTATAGGATAATGTGTCATGAAGTTGGTTCCCAATGCTGCCAACACACATATAGCACATCCCCGCGCTTAACTTATTAATTACAGTAAACCCTCTATTTTCGACCACCTCTAAAAAACGGTCATCTCTAAAAATATCCAATTTTCAAATTCCTGGAACAATTACGGACGAAATACCGTTCTAATAACCTTCCCAATAACGGCACCCCCCATAACGGTCACGGCCACCCTTTGAAAAAATTTCGGCAAAAATTACCTGCACTTTTACCTGTCAATACCGGTTATAAATTATTTTTAACAATAACCTTTGTTTTCTATAGAGGTTATAACCTGTCATTTATGTTTAAAAAGATAATCCCGGGTGGATTTTGAGTTAGCCGACGCTCTACAGTGCCTACGTCTATCAACATGTCGCTAAAAAGAAAACGTTTATCTCTTAAAGGCAAAATTGATATTATTGCAGAAAGTGAAAAGTTCAGTAATAATGCTACAAAGTTGTCTAAAAAATTTGCAGTTGGAAGGACACAAGTGAACGACATTTTAAAAAATAAGTCCCACTTTAAAAAGCTGTTTGAAGAAAATTCCAATCTAGAGCAAAAGAGAAAATTTACTAAAACCGAAGGACTGGAGGATCTAATTAAGTTCAACTGAACACAAGCATCTAACTCAAGTATTGGAGTATTTCCTTCTTTTACGATCACAAACTTCAGTTTTGTACATTTTCCTTTTTTATCATGACATTTCAGTCCAACGACACCCACAGCTTTTATTAAATTTCTACCAAATCCCATTAATTTGCAATTTAAACTATCCATCTTTTCTTGTAGTTCAACTTTTTCATACACTACTTTAGGCAACACGTTTACATCGGCACATGTATCCAGTTTAAACTCAAACTTCTTTTTGTTAATTTTCAATGGATATGTCCACGTTTTCTTATTCTGGACATTCCTCATCTCACCAATCAACGACAATTCCTCAAGATACAACTCATCACCAGTACTATCAGAATCTTCAATTTGGTGTATCTTCTTTTTTTCCTTTTTATAGTTTCTAATTGTCTCTTTTTTCATTACCCTTCCTGCCCTCGTTCATCCTTTTTCTACAAACTACTTTGAAATGTCCATATTTACCACAATTATTACATTTACGATTGTATGCAGGACAATTTCGTGCTTCATGCTCAGTAGCATATTTTTCACAATAATACTTATCTTGTTTTTTCTTTATTACATTAATTTCCTCGCTCTTTTCTTCTCGAAGTACTTTCACTACTTGCTTCATGAGCCCGACAAAATTCTGCAGCTTCATTTAACATTAACGTTGTTTCTCTCAACATTTTTTCTTGTAGATTAATATCTCTAATTTCTATTATCATCTTATCTCTTATTAGTGATTCCTCTTGTTGTTCAAATTCACAATCCTTTGATAACTTTTTTAGATCGGTTAAGTATTTTTCAACAAATTTTTTCTTGGGTTACAATACTGGTCGAAAGCTTCAACTACCTTGCGATATTTTTCTTGCCAAATTGACTAAACTTTTGTCAAAAACACCAAATCTTTAAAAAACATCATAATATAAAATTATCAATATCTCATGAAACAATGTTGCTAGAATCATGAATGATACAGCAATTTAAAGCTAAAAGTTTGTTCTTTATTTTACTTTCACAAATTATTGTTGTAATTTCATCAGTTTGGCAGGAAAGAAATTCTTAATTTGTCTCAATTAAACTTAATAAATATTAAAGCTTCAAATACCCTGATATAAAATTTTCGATATCTCACGAATCAATATAGATAAAATCATAAATAATATAACATTTTCAAGGTTAAACTATGCACTTTAGTTTATTTCTATACATTTTTCTTCTAAACTCATTAGTTTATGAGGAAAATATTTCTCAAATTGATTCAATGTAAGTTGAAACTAACAAATTTTCAAAAAATTTTGTGATATAAAATTTTCAATATCTCACGAATCAATATAGATAAAATCATAAATAATACAACATTTTCAAGCTAAAACTATGTACTTTAGTTTATTTCTGTACATTTTTCTTCTAAACTCATTAGTTTATGAGGAAAATATTTCTCAAATTGATTCAATGTAAGTTAAAATTAACAAATTTTCAGAAAATTATGTGATATAAAATTTTCGATATCTCACGAATCAAAATAGATAAAATCATAAATGATACAACATATTTAAGCTAAAAGTATGTACTTTAGTTTACTCCTATACATTTTTCTTCTAAACTCATTAGTTTATGAGGAAAATATTTCTCAAATTGATTCAATGTAAGTTAAAATTAACAAATTTTCAAAAAATGTTGTGATATAAAATTTTCGATATCTCACGAATCAAAATAGATAAAATCATAAATGATACAACATTTTCAAGCTAAAAGTAAGTACTTTAGTTTACTCCTATACATTTTTCTTCTAAACTCATTAATTTAGGAGGAAAATATTTCTCAAATTGATTCAATGTAAGTTAAAATTAACAAATTTTCAAAAAATTTTGTGATATAAAATTTTCGATATCTCACGAATCAAAATAGATAAAATCATAAATGATACAACATATTTAAGCTAAAAGTATGTACTTTAGTTTACTCCTATACATTTTTCTTCTAATCTCATTAGTTTATGAGGAAAATGTTTCTCAAATTGATTCAATGTAAGATAAAATTAACAAATGTTCAAAAAATGTTGTGATATAAAATTTCCGATATCTCACGAATCGAAATAGATAAAATTATAAATGATACAACATATTTAAGCTAAAAGTATGTACTTTAGTTTACTCCTATACATTTTTCTTCTAAACTCATTAGTTTATGAGGAAAATGTATCTCAAATTGACTCAATGTAAGTTAAAATTAACAAATTTTCAAAAAATGTTGTGATATAAAATTTTCGATATCTCACAAATCAAAATAGATAAAATCATAAATGATACAACATATTTAAGCTAAAAGTATGTACTTTAGTTTACTCCCATACATTTTTCTTCTAAACTCATTAGTTTATGAGGAAAATATTTCTCAAATTGATTCAATGTAAGTTAAAATTAACAAATTTTCAAAAAATTTTGTGATATAAAATTTTCGATATCTCACAAATCAAAATAGATAAAATCATATATGTTACAACATATTTAAGCTAAAAGTATGTACTTTAGTTTACTCCTATACATTTTTCTTCTAAACTCATTAGTTTATGAGGAAAATATTTCTCAAACTGATTAAATGTAAGTTAAAATTAACAAATTTTCAAAAAATTTTGTGATATAAAATTTTCGATATCTCATGAAACAGTATATCTACAATCATGAATTATACATCATTTTGAAGCTAAAAGTGTGTACTTTATTTCATTATTACAAATAGTTGTTCTAAATTTATTAGTTTATTAAGTAGATCCCTTAATTCATTTTTGTTGTAGATAAAAACTTCGAAACTCCTCCAATAATATCAGCTTTAACCACGAAAGGACGGATTGATTTCATACCGGAAATCAAAAAACCCATCGGAAAATTGGAACGAATGTGGGCTTACTTGACCGTGCAACAATTACTTCAAGAGAAGGAAATAAGCAAAAACAATACCGAGGAAATCAGAAATAAAGCGCTCAACATCGCATTGAAATACGGCTTTGTAACTCCGGTGAGTTCGATGGTGGTTGTGAAGCCGAATTCAACGAATAGTGTTAATTTGGAGAATGCGGGAGAAGATGAACCTGTGGCGAATCGCTTAGTGCAAAATAGCTATTTCAGCGGAGGGAGTAAGAGATTGAAAATAGTAAAAATAATAAATTTATTTTTTATTTTAAGATTACAGACATGCAATATTTCAACCAGCTGCAAGTAGGCGAGGTAAAAAGGTTATTGAAAGCTTGAAAATGATTAACCTATTTCTTCTGTTAAGGTCTCTCAGGTATCTCGAGTTATTCACGTCCATCAGCAACAAAATCTTTATTTTCTGCCGCACCAGACAACATTGTTAGCAAAAGAAGACTAATTGCCTATGGTAACCATTACACCCATTATCAGCCTTCCAATAATAAGGTCCAGAATATTAATGACCTTAAAACCAAGATGCCTTGGATTAACAATGTTTTACGAAACAATACACTAATAACAGATACAGGTAAATAATTAAATTATTTTTATAGACACAATAAAACTTATTAAATTTATTATTACATGTTAAGGTTCATACAAACTTGACGTAACCATGCATAGTGCCGATGGACTATCATGCCCACTAACACCACTTAATGGAAGTGGTCATTGCAAATACATCCACGAATGTCCAAATGTGTTGCGACATTTAACGGACATGCAAATTTTTGGACAATACCAATGCGATTTGAACGGATATGCAGCGATATGTTGTCCAATAACTAACTCATAAAAATACAAATTTTAATAAAATCATATCTCAAAAAGTAAATGAGATATCAAGTTGTAATAAACATCATTTTATCACAAATTTAATGTAGTTTCAACTCACAGAAAATAATTTCTTCGTTCCTATAAGTTTAGATAATACGATTTTTTTAATTCAACCATGAGGGTGTTGAGGTTAAATTGATGAAAATTTTATTTATGGGGTCGTATCTCAAGAACGAGTTGAGATATTAATGTGAAATAAAAAGCATTTTGAATCAAATTTAATTATTATTTATTATGATGAGTATCATTATTTTGTTTTTATAAATTTAGACGTCATGACTATTTTAGTGCATCTCTACGAATCAATTAAGGTTTATTTATATAGTAATTTTAATAAAAGCATATCTCAAAAAGTAAATGAGATATCAAGTTGTAATAAACATCATTTTATCACAAATTTAATGTAGTGTCAACTCACAAAAAATAATTTCTTCGTTCCTATAAGTTTAGATGATACGATTTTTTTAATTCAACCATGAGGGTGTTGAGGTTAAATTGAAAAAATTTTTATTTGTGGGGTCGTATCTCAAGAACGAATTGAGATATTAATGTGAAATAAAAAGCATTTTGAAGCAAATTTAATCAATATCTATTGTGATGAGTATCACTATTTTGTTTCTACAAATTTAGACGTGGTGATTTTTTATGTGCATCTCTACGAATCAATGTAAGGGATATTTATATAGTAATTTTAATAAAAGTATATATCAAAAAGTAAATGAGATATCAGGTTTAACTAAACACCATTTAATCACAAATTTAATGTAGTTTCAATGCACAAAACATAATTTCTTCGTTCCCATAATTTTAGGTGATACGATTTTTTTAATTCAACTATACGTGTGATGGGGTTCAATTGATTGATAAACATTTTATTTGTGGGGTCGTATCACAAGAACGAATTGAGATATTAATATGAAATAAAAAACATTTTGAAGCAAATTTAATCAATATTTATTGTGATGAACATCATTATTTTGTTTTTAATGTAATGGTTATTTATATAGTAATTTTAATAACAGCATATCTCAAAAAGTAAATGAGATATCAAGTTGAAATAAACACCATTTTATCACAAATTTAATGTAGTTTCAATGCACAAAAAATAATTTCTTCGATGCTATAATTTTGGGTGATACAATTTTTTTAAATCAACTATACGTGTGATAGGGTTAAATTGATAAACATTTTATTTGTGGTATCGTATCTCAAGAACGAATTGAGATATTAATATGAAATAAAAAACATTTTGAAGCAAATTTAATCAATATTTAGTGTGATGAATATAATTATTTTGTTTTTACAAATTTAGACGTGATCATTTTTTTTAGTGCATCTCTACGAATCAATTAAAGTTTATTTATATAGTAATTTTAATAAAATCATATCTCAAAAAACAAATGAGATATCAAGTTGAAATAAACATCATTTTATCACAAATTTAATGTAGTTTCAACTCACAAAAAATAATTTCTTCGTTCCTATAAGTTTAGATGATACGATTTTGTTTAATGCAACCATGAGGGTGTTGAGGTTAAATTGATAAAAATTTTATTTGTGGTGTCGTATCTCATGAACGAATTGAGATATTAATATGAAATAAAAAACATTTTGAAGCAAATTTAATCAATATTTATTGTGATGAATATCAATATTTTGTTTCTGCAAATCTAGACGTGATGATTTTTTTAGTGCATCTCTACGAATCAATGTGAGTTTTATTTATATAGTAATTTTAATAAAATCATATTTCAAAAAGTAAATGAAATATCAGGTTGAAATAATCATCATTTTATCATATATTTAATGTAGTTTCAACACACAAAAAATAATTTCTTCGTTCCCATAATTATAGGTGATATAACTTTCTTAATTCAACCATCCGGGTGTTGAGGTTAAATTGATAAAAATTTTATTTGTGGTGTCGTATCTCATGAACGAATTGAGATATTAATATGAAATACAAAACATTTTAAAGCAAATTTAATCAATATTTATTGTTATGAACATAATTATTTTGTTTTTACAAATTTAGACGTGATGATTTTTTTAGTGCATCTCCACGAATCAATTAAAGTTTATTTATATAGTAATTTTAATAAAATCATATCTCAAAAAGTAAATGAGATATCGAGTTGAAATAAACACCATTTTATCACAAATTTAATGTAGTTTCAACGCACAAAAAATAATTTCTTCATTGCCATAATTTTGGGTGATACGATTTTTTTAATTCAACTATGCGGGAGTTGAGGTTAAATTGATAAAATTTTATTAGTGGGATCGTATCTCAAGAACGAGTTGAGATATTAATATGACATAAAAAGCATTTCGAAGCAAATTTAATCAATATTTATTGTTATGAACATCATTATTTTGTTTTAACAAATTTAGACGTGCTGATTTTTTTAGCGCATCTCTACGAATCAATTAAGGTTTATTTATATAGTAATTTTAATAAAATCATATCTCAAAAAGTAAATGAGATATCGAGTTGAAATAAACACCATTTTATCACAAATTTAATGTAGTTTCAACACACAAAAAATAATTCCTTCGTTCCCATAATTGTGGATGATACGATTTTTTTAATTTAACCGTGCGGGTGTTGAAGTTAAATAGATACAAATTTTATTTGTGGTATCGTATCTCAAGAACGAGTTGAGATATTAATATGAAATAAAAAGCATTTTGAAGCAAATTTAATCAATATTTATTGTGATGAATAGAGTACGGAATTTATGCAAATTGCATATTGTTTACCGCTGATAGTACGATTAAATGCTTTCAGATCTAGACGAATTACGTGAATAGGAATTGAATGACGCCTATTAATTTTTACATATTTTGCATATTTCTAAGTTTTTCGCATATTTTTGCATATATTGCATATTTTCATATATTTTACAGTATTATAAGTTTTGAAAGTACAACGTCGATTCCTTATTTATTACTTGAGGTTTAATTCATATTATGGTCAACTCTTTTTTCTTATATTCGTTGTCTAGATTAAAATTATAATCCATTCTACCAGTTTGAATTGTAGTTACGGGTGTAAATAATGGAAACGTGCTCCTATAACCACTGACCAATTAAAGAACTGAGAACGTTTCCATTATTTACACCTGTAACTTAACTCACGCTTTTATCGATTCCAAAATGTTTGTTTCTTACTCTTAACTCTTAAGCTTTTGTTGCAGGTTGCTTGTGATCGCAAATCTCAGATCACGTAACATGTTGCTACCGATTTATATAAGAAAAAAACTCACTAACTTAATCAAACTAAAATGGCTCAACAATCTTTGAAGCAAGCTATTCAACCAGAAACAACCAAAAATGAGCAGCAAATATTTAATGCAGGATTATGTAAAGCCTTCTTGGCAGCCAACATTCCATTTCAAAAATTGCAAAATCCTGAAATAAAAAAATTTTTAGAACAGTATTCTGGGCGTACTGTACCGGATGAAAGTACTTTGCGCAAGGGCTACGTAAATGATGAGTATGTTAAAATAATTAGGACTATCAAAGAAGTAGTCAAAAGCCACTACGTATATTTAATAGTTGACGAAACTACCGATTGTTGTGAAAGATATATTGTGAACTTGCTGATAGGTGTTTTAAGTAGTTCATTTGCTGGTAAATCATATTTAATTGTTTGCAAACAATTGGACAAAACTAACCATCTTACAATTTTACGTTTCGTAAATGAAGCGTTAATGAATTTTTTTCTTCTGGAAATTGTACCAACTGAAAAATATTGCTTTTGCTTTCGGATGCTGCCACATATATGGTTAAAGCAGGTCAACAACTTAAAAGGTTGTACCCCAATTTAATTCATGTGACGTGCTTAGCTCATGGTTTGAATAGAGTAGCAGAGGAAATTAAGAATCAATTTCCAGACGTAAATGGAAAATATTTTTTTACATTGCTAATTAACAATGTAAAAAAAATATTTTTGAAGTCTCCCCTGAGGATCCAACTATATAAGGAAAAATTGCCTAATGTTAATCTACCACCAGAGCGTGTCATTACACGGTGGGGTACCTGGTTAAATGCTGCAATATTTTATGCCATACATTTTACGTCTATAAAGGAATTAATCATTGATTTGAGGAGGAAAATAATCAAGCAATTAAAAAATGCAAAGCACTATTAGGTTCAGAATTAGTGTTTATTCAAAGTAATTATGAGTTTGTCAGTAGGATTATATTAAATTTAGAAACACAAGCAATGTCACTAAATGAGTCTGTTGGATTAATACAGGAATTTGAGACTGGTGTTAAAAAAGTAAATGGTAAAGTAGGACAAATTATTAATAAAAAGTTTTATGAAGTATTAGAAAAAAGTCACGGTTATGTATTGTTATCAAAGGCGGCTAATACATATAATTAGTGGATATTTAAGCCATCAGATTAATATTGAGCCAAATTTAATTAGTAACTTGAAATATGTACCCATTACATCTGTAGATGTGAGAGGGGTATATATTTTATTTAGTTGTATTTTTTTTAATTTTAATAAAATAGAGTTTTTAAATCTTTAGATGTTTTTTTGAATTGAACCTATTAAAAAAATACCGACTTTATATATAAATTAATATACTATTTTAACACTAGTACAAAATGCATGCATATTTTGACATAACCTTTGCATATTTTTATATGAAATTTGCATATTTTCTTATATTTACTGCATATATATTATGCGCATATTTTGCATAAATTTTGTGCATAAAATTCCGGACTCTAATGATGAATATCATTATTTTGTTTTTACAAATTTAGACGTGATGATAATTTTTTTCGTTCCCATAATTTTGGGTGATACGATTTTTTTAATTCAATCATGTGGGTGTTGAGGTAAAATTGATAAAAGTTTTATTTGTGGGGTTGTATCTGAAGAACGAATCGAGATATTAACATCAAATAAAAAACATTCTGAAGCAAATTTAATCAATATTTATTGTTATGAATATCATTATTTTGTTTCTACAAATCTAGACGTGCTGATTTTTGTAGTGCATCTCTACGA